CAGCCATGCACACCTGCATGGGTGGAAAAAGCACTTAGACCATTCCCTATAGCTTGATTCAGTAATCAGTCACATAAAAGTGTTTCCACCAAAAGTTTTGACTTTACTTATTTTTTATATATATTATATATATATCATAAAGGCTATTATCTCAAGCCAAGCATTAAATGAATGACTCGTCAACGGATTTGTCTAATTGTTGCTCTGTTAACTATGTCTCATTACTACTGTCTGGCTTTACCAACTTGGCACAGACAGTCTGTGGTGATTCGCTCACAATCTGGCAGCAGTCTCTAATTGGTCTTTTGTCCAACTGGACCCTCGGCTACACATCAACCGATTTGACTGACCAATTATGGTTAGTGACAACTTTTTTCTTCTTAATCTTTTTTTTTTTTTTTTTTACAGCAAGAAAATGCATTATACACTTGTACATTTTCACGGAAAAACATACTATTATACTTTCGTCATAGTATTAAGTTGTGACTAACCACAGAAGAAATCTGATAAAGTTTATTTATGAAAAACAACAACAAAATTTGAAGCCTCTTCTAAAAGATGATTTTCTCAGCCAATCAGAGCCTCTCTCTGATGGCTGTTCCCTGAAGAGGCTACCCCAAAACAATTTATATTTCATTTATTGATATGATCCATCCACAATTTGTTTAATGACATTTTTTAATTATTATCCCAAAGTGCTTTGTTAAGAATACTATGATCTCACATTTTTTTCAACTGCGTAACGCAAATGATATGGACGAGGCCATGGATAGGCAGGTCAAGACAGGGTTGTATAGTGGATTAATAATGTCTAGGCATTCAAAGAGTACTCCCTACTTAAAGCACACTTTTGAGCATTTTAGCCACCCACCTTCTTTAGCAGTACCTGACAAGTATAAAACAGTCGTTAGTACCAAGCACCGCACAAAGCACACACTCTGGAATGATGAAGTGATCTCAGATCGGGTTGCCTGGCCTTCTTGAAAAGTTTATTCTGCTGTTGTGCTAACTCCTACTAGGGCAAACATACTCCCTTTCTTTGACACTAGGATCAATTCCACTTATTAGTTTCTGCGATTTATTGGGACAATAACGGCCTCAGTATTAATCCCGCTCAGTACAATGGTTCACTGGCACGACCTACCATCCAAGTTCCCAAACGCAAACATGCCTGTTTGCATTACATACACAGAGGCTGGGGCACAAGTCAATGGCACTTAGTACCGTGTCCTAGCGCTACTCTAAGCTTAGCGGGCCCCCGGAATTCAAAGCAGCATTCCCACGGAAATGTTGCAAAATATTATAGCTAGCATTTGCCATGCAAAGAGGGTCGGTGTGAAAAAAGAGGAATCATCACCATTTTTTCTGACTATTCCATCATAGTAACTTCTTTCAAAGGAAAGGCATGTTTACACATTAACCTCCAGAAAGAATTAAGCTTTAGAGTAACAGAGTTACATAGTTGAGCAATTTTCATGGAGATTTTCTCTATTCATTCACACCTATGTTTGTTTTAATCATAACTATTAAAATAACAATTTTGTCATAGCCATCACTATCTGTAGTGATGGAGACTCAGGAGTGACCTTTCACTTGGAGAGGCATGCCTTTCAGCCATGATATAGCACCAGAAACTTTACTCTACATTATAGCTGGCTGTACATTTATCCTCTGTAGGTATAGGCAAGCTAGCTAGCCTGTTTGTTTAGCCACTACATTACAGTTGCACAGGAAAGTAGTTGGAGGTCCAAATGAAAAGCAATAAACAAACACACCCCTCTCATGAATATGCAGTAAGCTCCTCCAGATGGAGCAATATCGGCTCCTGGTACAGTCTCTTACTGTAAACCTACTTAGCATAGAAAATAACTCTCAACTGTTGACATAAGCTTCTATCTGAATAGCCAGCAAATTAATTATTCTAAGACACAATTTACAGCCTGGACAAGGACACTCTCACAGTCACTTGAGAGGCAGCTATCAGGAATCTCTTTTACAAAAGGGGGTGGATGCATTTAGTGAGGGATGGGAGGCACTAGTCTACAGTTGTCATCTCACTATCAAGAGAGTGACATGGCTGTAAAACTGGAATCACCCCAGCAGCCAAATTGGACACATACTTTCATCAAGTTCTCGTTAAACATAACATAAAACCAGAGTGGGGTTTTCTCGTGGTGGCAGTGGCAACACTCAAAAATGATTTATGATAAATCAAGGAAAACCACTTCATGCATTATAAGACTGACAGTTACTATGGTCGCCAACACTTTCTGGATTTTGTTTTTTTTCTTTTCCCTCCCATCTGTGGTGTGAATGGAATTTTGTTGATTCAGATTGCTGAAAATGCCATGGAGAGCAAATTACAAACAGATAGAAAGTTTATAGGACAGAGTTGGAGGGATATCAATAAAAGCATACTTTCCCATTTAATTGTTGGTAAAAACTAGTGCAAAGTACAGCGGGTATCTGCTGCTAGTGCACTCACTGCTTTCAGATGGTGGAAATTACAATACCCCCAAAGCCTGTCAGAGACTTGGCCTCATTAATCATTCGCTTGGCTGGTGTAGTGTGGTACAACCATAAAATTAGCATTAAATGGCACCACAATTCAACACATGCTTTTTTTTCACTCTTAATGCCATAGCATGGTGTAACCTGCTGAAAAATATACCACTAACACTCTCAATAAAGAAGTTATCCAATGAAATCGAGAAGAAATCATCACTGTAAATAGCACAGAGGTGTCAATGATTTTTAACATCCCCCCCCCAATTGCATCATTGTGACAACATGTTTGATAGTTTGTTGGCACATTCCACCACTGTGATGTAGCACATGGTATAAGCGTTTATAATAGTTGGCTAGTTAACAGGACTGATCAAATCGTTCAAACTTCAGGGATTTGCTTTTCTCACATTATCGAGCACCGTTTTTGCAAAGTTCTTTTACTCTCTTTCCATTACTCTCGAGTGTTTCGATTACAGTAGGTGATTTAACCACACTTTTGAAACAAGTTGCTCTTTTTTTTTAATTCTAAAGAGCACCTACGGTGTCGCGAACGCCCCCATGACATTGTGACTGACAGGACAGAATTGTAGGATGACACAGCTATTCTTGTGAAATCCACCAGTCTAACAATGAAAGTGACACCCAAAACAGTTGCCTTGTCAAAGAACTGTGTAGTATCAGCTTGCCTGCCACTGAGTCCCACACTTTCTCTGTCATCACTACTCGCCTAGAAGTTGAGCTCTGTTGGGACAGGAATTCCCACCTTTGCTCCGCCTCCCTCAAATGACAGAACACACTGGAGAATATATTTATAATGTCTGCTGCAAACAAATAACACAGAGACACTTTTTTCCCCCCTCATAAAATGTTTAGCAAACACATCATAAATTCAAATATTTAAAAGTGTTAATAATTTTATGATAACTGAAGTAGGCAAAGTGAGATCAAATTTATTCAAGTGGTCACAACCATAAAAAAATAAAAATAAATCTTTAGGATCATGCACAACCACACAAAATAAACTACCAATTTACCAAATGCAATTTCAGATTCATAAACTGGTTGGGGTTAAAAGGAAACGTGATTAGAATCTAATCATAACAATACTTGCCAGTGTTTCTTAAAACACATTAACAACCAAATATCTAAATTTAGCGGGAGTAGTTAGGATCATATCATTGGAAGAATTTCCACCAACATAGAGGGGGAACAATTTAATCATCCACGCTCCAGCTGAATCTAGAAATTTCTAAGTATGTAATTAAAGAGGGGAGCACTGCCAGACTCACATTAGCTTGGCTGACCTTGAGTATATGTCTACAAATAGGTTTTTGGCTTGTATCTGGTGTCCTTTTAATGACAGTAGTCTCCAGCTCATCCCCCAGCCCTGAGGAAATTCAAAACTCCGCCACATTAGCGCATGAAACCCAAGATATTTCCCTTTAACAACAAATTTGACTTCCGTACTGGCTTCCTTCATTAAAATGAATGGTAAAACCCCCACCTTCTAATAACAACCCCCCCCCAAAAAAAACCTCTGCTTTTAAAAACAGGACTACATGAAAATTCACAAGACTGTGATGCAATCCTTGTCAACTGCTAATAACCATATGTAAAGATGAAATCACTTGCCCAGAAAGTTGTTTAATTATAGTTAGATGAAACTGGCATTTTTTTTTTTTTTGTAATCGGTGAGCCCACTCAGGGATATCTACTTGTGTCATAGCAGACATACCAGAAGAGAATGTAGCCTTCCACCATAAACATCAATCATGACATGTCATTTCAGTTATACACTTGGGACTCACAGGAACAACCAGGGCAACAAACTTAGATCATTTCTCTAACTTAAACTCACTGAACCCCCTTTTAAAATAAGAACCAATTTGCAATTTAAGTATCAAACTTCAAATGGAAAACGCAATAAGGAGGTGAATTCCGCACACTTTGTGATGGATACGTTTCAGGATAGACTCTGTTTTTGAATGTTATAACTGAAACATGAAAAATCTTCGATGCAATTTTTTTTTTTAAATTTGTTGTCATTGACAAAACTGTCAAATACATTTACAGCCACTATATAATAGTATTCAGCGTTTTACATTGCTGGCATTCAATGCTACAATCTCTTCCTCACTCACTTTCATTCAAAATTAAAGTAAAAAGAAGATAAAGTGAAAAGCTCAGTTGTAAAAGCTTTGAGTCTACTCATGCGTACGGACACAACCAAATGTCGGATTGACAAAATTTAATGGCATGACGACACTTTTTTTCTATTTTTATGGTCCAATTAAAGCTTTCGTTGACAGTAATTACAACAGATTAAAAAAAAATAGAACTGAATAAGAAAATACACACACATATACAACGTTAAAAAGTTTTAGTGTCCCCCTGCACCACTGATTCATTCATAGTGCAATAAGACTCAACCCTGAGAAAGGAAAAATACACAGGAATGAAAACAAAAAAGACAAAGAGTGAATCGGCCTTACCAGTTATTGACTTGCAGAATAGTTAGACCAGTATCTTGGGCTAATTGTTTTTTCTGTTCTTCTGAAGGGTAGGGGTGCTATAAAAATGAACAAAAGACACAGTGAAAATGGGGATTAGAAAAAAAAAAATGCTTTGTTGTCGTGCAGAATAACGTTAAAATCCACCAAACCAGGCGACCTCAATCAATAAGTGTTACTTTTAGAGTTTTGTATGGAAAGATCTGAATGAAAGGAAAGTTGGGATGTAGACAACAAATCGTTTTCAATGCAAATCGGAGCCCAATCAATGGCGAGTCGTTCAGATCATGAAAACTGCCCTGAATAGGGGATTTAGGTTAAGCTCCTGATTTGTGTCAAAAATCATACGCTGACTAACTGACTGCTTTGAAAACAAACCATTCACCATCAGACACTTGTTATTTTTAGGCGTTCTATTTTTGCCAGTAAACAACTTTTTATAGTTGTCTTTACACAGAGAGAATAATTCTCATAGAACCATTCAAATATGCAGGACACCCGCCCTTTTTTGAGTGTGAAATAAATTATACTTTGGTTGCAGAAGCAGTAAACTGCCAAGTGGCTTTCCTGTCGTCCTATTAATCGAGCTATTATAGGTCAATTAGCATCTTAATTAAAGGACAGTAAATCCACAATTAAAATGTTTTTTACAGACCTCACAATTGATGTTAGTATGTGGGAAAGAGCATATGTGAATTTCAGATGTGTATCTGTGTGTATATACCTTACGGTTAGCAAATGTTTTCAATTCAATTAACTAATATGGACTTTCAGGATGCATATTTAAGGGAGCTGGGGTGGAGTATCAGGAGGAGATTTGGTTTTAGTGTCAGTAACTGGGTATATCTTATTGAAGCAACTGTGGTAATAATTGTAATAAATCAGTCCACGATAATGTAGCACAAACAGTAGCACAAACAGAAAAAGTGTCTTTTTGAAAAGTTATTTTATATCATTTAATTAAAGAAAGCCCTGGACAATGAGGTAAAATTTCTTCACTGATAACTCTTAAAATACTGTTTGTCATTTTTGAAGAATGGGAAAAATTGACTTGTTGTCATTAACTAAGTTACATCTAATACATAGTATAACAATTGATTTGAAAAAGTATACAGCATTCTCTAATGTAAGAGCACAAAAGTGGAACATTGCAATTATAAAACAACTCTGTTATTTATCAAAGTACAATATGTTAATACAGTAACAATTAATGTATGTAACATATGCAACAACAAATACTTTTTCATTTTTAAAATAATTTTAAAATATTAACTTTGCAAAATCCTAAACATTCAAAAATTTGAATCAGAGAAATAATTTTGTAAACAAATATTTACACATGAAAATCAATGTAAACTTGAACTTTTGTCTTTCTTAACAATGTCAAAGAAACAATCAATTTCAACTGATGGCCTTAAATCACGATCCTAAAGTAGGGAGAATTCCCATTAATTGTATCCTAAAATGATCTGAACGACTACTAAAAATAAATGATGGGCAAAACACAATGATTTCCATTCGCTAGACATTAGCAGATTCATGTTAAATTATATGACTAGATAGTCCTTCAATCCATGCAAAGTAGTATAAAAGGAATCAAGAAGGCCATAGTTTTTTTCTTCTCCTCAACTTGACTTTCTGAATAAACAAAGTCAAAGTACAAAACAAAGTAACTGTTATACCATGTGTTTATGTTTCTAGTTCAACAAAAGATTAAATTCTAAAAGCAAAACGGCTTATACTCTTATTGGCTATGAAAAAACATTAGGGTTGTTTTAGTGGGAAGGTCAGTCTGAAAGATGACAACAAAAAATGAAAAGAAAACAGCCAGAGATCTCAACGACTTTCAAAACAATTATCAAATACAGAGACTTTTGGAGAATATATGAATACAGTTTAAAATATTAATAACAGCCAGCTAGGGAAGTTTTTTTTTTCTTTCTCCACATTTCAAATACTGTGATGAATTTTTCATCAGTCACCGCTTAGCATTATGGCTTGTTAGGAAATGCCACAGCACTGGCGAAGGCACAATGAACTTGTAGGTCCCCCGAGAGTTGATAAAGACACACTCCATTCTCTCGGCGGCTCGAGAGATGAGTTTGTCATCCTTGCCGAATTAGCGAATTAGACATAGTAGATTAAGCATGCAAATTGGACGGTGTGTGCAGCTCATTCCGATTAAGACTTTCAGGTTAGGATGGTATGGCTCGGGTAAGAAAAAGTGTTGACACAACGACAAAGCTGACATTTTGGTCTCTGGCAAAAAAAAAAGAGGTTGACCAGAAAGTGGCAGACTTTTTGGCTAGGACAAGATGTCTCAGGCAAGAAAAAGAGTTGAACCGAAGACGAAGTCGCCCTTTCGGTTTGGATAGGAGGATAGCTTGGGTGAGAAAAGTTTTGACACAAAGAGGAAGTTTTGTTTCAGCAATGTACAGTATTAAATTTGGGGGGGGGGGGGGTCATAATCACTTTTTCATATACAATAACAAATCCAAATTAGTTAATTAAATTTGGCTTAGAATTGAGAGAAAAATGGGACAATAGTTGAGTGTTGAAACTACTATTTTAAATTTAAAACAAATTTTTCATTGAACAATGCATTAAAAATTAGGGGATTTTGAAAGAAGTGAAAGGAGCTGATGTTGGTGGTGGTGGTGGAAATGTGAAAAAATCTTTACATTGTCCGTTGAAATGTGCCGATTACTTCAAATGTGACATGTAGGAGAAGAATAAACAAAAAACAATGCACAGGGAATATAAAAAATTACTAGTATAGGTAAGGGTGAAAATCATTTATTTCGGTATAATGAGCTTTTTCAATCACTTTTTCTATTCAAGCAGCACTTAAAGTGTTAACTCAAGTTGTGATTTATACGTCTTGTTGGGAACCTGTTATCCTTCAAAAATAAACATACTTGTTTAGCCTTGTTTACACATTGCTGTTAGTCCAGACTGATTTGTGGTGGTTGTGCCTCATCAATTAAACAGCGGCCTATTGTCTCTCACTGACTACTTGGTGGAAAAAACACAACACATGTACATAGGTACTAATGTAGTGTCCACACACACACACACACACACAATTGGGTTAATCTGCACCTTTCCTGTGTCAATACAGTCTCGGCTACAACAAGTGTCCTCTACTGAAACACTGTTTTAACTCCTGAAGACCCGGATTCTCGAATTGGCTAACCTTTGAGGGTCACATGATTTATAAGTCAGGTCTGTCACTTTTTACAGGTGGTATTACCAACAAACAAACAGTCAATAAAAATACTTTATCAGGGTAGGGGTAATATTTCATTTTTTTCTTCTCGTTTACATGCAGTCAATCACTCAGCAATGAAAACAAATAACTGTTTTCTTGTTTAGTTAAATTTTTTGTTAATGCTGCCCAAAAGTTCCTAAATACGAATATTCTGTAATACTATGTACGTACGTCTTCCCGACTGGAGTCATTGCACCACGAGCAAACCACATGATTAACCAAAGTATCTTTAATTATTTAATCCCCAGAATTTCAGACCCTTTCAACCATTATTTCAAATTACCGTATTCCTTAACACAAAACTGAGCAATTAAAGCAAGACACCTCCAAAGCTCACTGCTTCTGGTAGAGGCCAGTGAGGGAAGCTAAATTATAATATTATTATGATTATGAGATACTTGATTGATGGCGTTCTCATATTTATACCCTACAAAATTTCATCACCATGGTAACACTTGTCGCATCTAAAAACCCTCTTTGCAATAATAAATGATGAAATTAAAAACTGAATTACCAAGCTATTGAAGCCCCTAGTTAAACTAAATGAAAAAAAAAAATATATTCATAGTTTTTCAAAATATCAATATATTCAAGACCAATGAGCTGATGTGAATGGAAAGAAATATTATAAAATATTTTTAGCTAATGAAAAAATATAATGGATGACCAAAAATAAAAATTGCTGACCATATTATTTTTAGTGACCAGCTTTGCATCCTACCTATATTGCCTGAAATCTTAAGCAACTATAGAGTTCATCTAAATAGAGGGGATTTGGAATGGTAAAATTGCAGTAAAGGCTATTATACAGTGACCATATGGAGCGTAAACAGCACAATACTGCAGCAAAAGCAGTTGTCATATTTGATGCATTATACATTGAAAACTATCATTTATAAAGTCACACACATGTTTATAAGTCGGTACTGTGTATGTTTCACTTAGCATCACAGACAAGATCTCCTTTTTTTTTTTTTTCACATGAAAAGAGTATGAAATGTACACATGTTTCCATTTTACCGATCCAAGAATCTTCTCATTGAGGGAGCACTAAAAATATTATATATTTTTTTTTTTAAATCATATTTATTTCAAATACGTGTTTGGTAGGATTGTCCCAACTACGTGAATTGTACACCTTTGCTATAGCTAATAAACTTGAAAGTTGTTTGGGAAATGTATTGCCGATATTCTTAATAAATAGTCGTCAAATCTGCCTGAGTGATTGATTATTTTTTAAAATCCTTTTTGCTTATTATGTCATTTACAAGCCAAACCCCAGGTACAATTTTCAGCATTTCATAGGATGAAATTCACTCCAAAATGGACTTGCTTTCAAATTCGTTGACAGGCTAAAAGAGAGAATATGCCATAATTGCTGTCATTTAGAAATTATCTGCAATGATATAAATGACAAAATTGCCAGTAAAATAGTAATTTTGTGTTGACTTTATAACGGGATATAATCATTTGTAGAAACTAGCACAAAACAAAATGGCTACCCCAAGGCAATTTCACAGGAATTCTGAGGCAAATATAGTTTCTTTTTGAATCTCAAGTCAGAGATTGAAATGGCAATATATAACCAAGCGACAATAACAATTTTTTTTCTCTCTTTCCACATTTGTATGAAATGTCATGTGATTTATAGATAAAAAACACTTAGTTTCCTTTATGAACTTTTTTAGAAAGGTAATCGGAACTGCTGCCAAGACATTCCGTGAATGCGTTTGAAGCAGTATATTCATCTGCAGATACTTTTCAAGAGAGAGAGAGCAATTTCACCGGGTTTTCCTGCATGCTGAAGTGAAAGAACTTTAGCTGTAGTAATTTGAGTGTTTCACACAATACAAAAATGATACACGAATAGACTTGACAATTATGAAGGAAGCGCCGGTGTTTCCTTTTTTCATTTTCCGGAATTTTTTAGCCGAAAAACATCACAAAATTAGCACCTGTTTAAATTAAATGCAAAAAAAAAAATATTTAACCAACAAATTTTATTCCATGAAGGGAGACCCTGGCGAACAACATGCAATAAATTTGTCTAACCTGGCAGCTGTCTGCTCTGGCTGTACACAGGGCCAATTGCACGGAGAGTTTAGCATCATAAATCAATGTGGCAGAGGTCAGGAGATCACCGCTGCCAAATTGCATAATGGTTGGTGGTTGTTCTGTCCTCCAACGCTAGTCGAACACAACAACCGATGAACGACAACACTGTGAATTCCGTTATGGGCAAATTCTCTTGATGCTGTGAAGTAGTGTCAGGAGACTGAGTTTCGTCAGGTACAGTGCGGCACATAACACATAACCTATAAGAGTTTCCCACTATTTTAAAACACATTGTCTCATCTTTTACAAGGATTGAAAAAAAAAAATGTATTGTCTGTAGACACACTGCCAAGAGCAATGTTTTTTTGTGTGCCTGGATTGCCTTTGCTTGACACCCCTACCACCTCGATTTTTTTAACCAATAGGTTAAGACCGAGAGTCAATATCTTAATACGGAAACCATAATCACTCACTGAAATTTATTTGTGTACCCATGCAATAGAATTATGAAAATATATAACCTAATTTAGAGCATAAAAAAATGTTACTTTGACATAATAAAGCGAGTTTATGCTTACACTAATAAGCTTATGTAAAATTTGTACACACAAAAAAATCAGAAGCAATTATTCATTTTGGTATATCATCGTGAAATTGACATAACAAGGCTCTAGATATGGAGAATGTGTATGCAAATGTGGGGGGGGGGGGGGAGAGAGAACGGGAGGTGTAGGACATGGCAGGGGGTGGCAGGAAACACCGGTTATGGTTATGGTATTTTAATTATTTTTATGAACAATTAATTAATAAATATAAATTTACCGTAAGATGCTGGAAGAGCCACGCCCTCATAATATTGGTAGCTGCTTTTGGAAATATCCCTCGTTTCTTCTGTCTTTTACTACTTTCGTCGTTGTCTTCTTCGCCTGTACCGTCCCCTGATCCGATACTGTTATCCACCCCACCATCTGTAAATACGAACATACCGCAGAAATGTGAGATTTTTTACCAGTTAATTTGGAAACCGAAGAGATAGATGACAAAGCCAGATAAGAGAAAAACCAATGCTGGGGTAAACCTATCCCTTTCATTAGAATGGAACCTGTGTTTATTTTCCACCATAATTGGAAAGAAAAATAACATGTCAAAATTTTCACTCTGTCAGAAAATTATTTATGTAAAAATACCCCGATTGACATGGCCATTTTTTTGAAGCCAATAATAACACAGAGTATAATTTTCATCTTAATTCTGTAGATAAAAAATTAGTTAGTCAGTCGGATTAGCTCATCATCGGATGGAATTGGATCAATATCAATCCAATAACCTAGTGAAAATGTCAGTTCAAACAAATTTGCTAAAATTCCAGGGCAGAAAATGTTTAATAATATAAAATAAATAAGATAATAAAAAAAGGTACAACTTCTCAAGTGTAATGAAAATGTGTAAAAAAAAAAATTAACGAAATGGGAGAATAATTGAAAAAAAAAAGAAATAAATATATATTTTTATTCAGCATATTATTACGTAAAAATTTACTGAAATGTATCAGAGAATCAATACCATGCGAAATGCACGCATCAACTAGAAATGCTCTCAGGAGGTAGACTGGGAAAACATAAATTTATTCCTTTGCTGCTTAGTTTATAAAAATGCATGTGGTTAAATGATGCATTACAACTCTTTGATAAACATAGAATTATATGATCCAATTTAGAGGTTGCCGATGAAATATTGATGAGCCAGTCCAAAGGGTGCAAAGCAGAGAGCAAGACTCAGTGCACACGTCATGTGTGAAGCAACGGTCTCCATTTTCGTTAGGCAATAGTCGCAAATTGCTTTTACTATTTAAATTAACCAGAGACTTTTTTTTATTCTTTATTTAAATCAGTATAGACTGAAAGTTTTATTTTCTTCTGGAGGATAATTCAATGTACAGAAATATTTGCGTTTTTAAACAAAATTAAATTCTTTGTCTTTTTTTTTTTAAATCCTACAACATTATAATTAAATAATTATTAACCTGAAATAGTTTTCAAAATATATTGAGAGAAAGTATGCTTTAAATATGGAAATATATCATCAATATTCTGGCAACAGTACTCAGCTGTACAAATTCCAGGTAAGAGCAATATTAAGGTCCTTCACACAAAATGGGACCACGGTAATCATCATCCATACTAGCTTGCATGAATGGTTCTTTGGAAATGTAGGAAAAAAGACAAATTTCTTTCCAATTTTAGAAAAATCCTCTTTTCATAATAAAATCCCTTTAGAGATCCATGCTTTGGAGAGTGAAAACATGGTATAAAAGAGATTTTTGACCAAGTTAAGGGGTAGTAATATTTTACAACCCCCCAAACTGTTTAAAATAAACACTTACCCCCTACATGCATAAAAAAAAAAAAATCAGAAAAAATCTATAACAATTTAGAGGGGCACATATAATATTTACTTGGTAAAAAAAAAAAAAAAAAAATTTAAATGAGCAGGATCAAAGAATCATTCAAAACTACCAACAATTGCGTGACCGTGAAATTGACGCCAGCAATCAAACCCTATCGTTAAGACAGAAGAAATATTACTCACTCAAATTGATGAATATAAAAAACACATTTCGCATCGTTAATACCTGTACTTGCCATTCATTGGTCATAAATCATACAATACATAACTTCACAATCACAGTTTGTTTTTTTGATCGGTTGAATTTGAGCAGTTATACTAATTGAGCCGTACATGTACGCATATAAACTTAAACCAATCACCTTCATCTTGTCTTATATTATTAGTAGCTATATAGCAAGGAATGTTTTGACCTGATTGTCTGTGCTATCAGACTGTCATACCATTGGTGTCAAGACTGACTATTATAAACGTAATGATTTATGCCGTATATCAGAGATCCTGATAATATAGAAATATTTCCCTCTTATATAAAACAAGTGTCAATGTGGGCAGTATGCCAATATGAACATAGTGGCCAACACCTATCTACCTAAACAAAGAAGAAAAAAAAAGATTCAGCAACCATTTCTCGTACCCCTAAAAATCCAATTCAAAACAGATGAAAATTAAGAATTAAACGCATACTTTTTTTTTCGTTAAAAAAATATACTTTATGAGCTTGTTGTGATCGTAATGGATGATGTAGATACAGCAGTGAAACAAATCGGAAATGTTTACAATGAACACCCTATGTTTACGAGTGGTGGAACCAAGTAGGAGGTTCAGAAAACAGACCAAAACTATGCCAGAATAAAAAAAAAAAAGAGAGAGAGCAGTAGCAACAGTAATTTCTTTTAAAACACTGACGACAGCAACAGCAAAAAAGAGCTCTAAGCGTGATTAGAGTGACTGTGATCCTATCTGAGGATGTATACTACTATACGTCCATTTCATCTCCATGTATATACTGATCCCGTTGGGTACAGTGGCGGTGTATGGAAATGAACGATAGTGAATCTGCGTTCTGATCACTGCAGACACCTCTAAGTCTATATTCCAGTAACACTTTAAATGAGCGGCTAGCTGACAATATCAGATAAGCTACCATGCAATAGCTGTAGCCTGAGAAAAAATTACACTGATAATGTGGGAAGATAAGAAAAAAACAAGATACCACAAATAACGCAGCCTAAGTCTCCCTCTTAGTATAGTAGTGAGTTGATGATGATGATGATGATGTGAGAGAGTTGCTTAGCAACAAGCCAACAGGCCATCCTTCATCATACCCTGAGAGTCATACCCCCCTCCTCCCAAATCTTTGCTACAATAATGGCATACTGTAGTTGTTTATTTTTGGAGTGACCTCCAGTAAAAAAAGACATTTTGTGGAAAAAAAATGCAGAATCTACTGGTGATGAAGTGACGGAATCATAGCAAACAGTGTCTGGGCTGAATCATAGCAAAATGAGTCTGGGCCTTTTGGTCATTAACATTCCGTTCCTCACACAATATTTTTTTTTTCTGAAAGATTTCTTTTTTGGGAGGGAGCTAAAGAGAAGTTAGGAGAGAAAGAGAAAGGAGGTCAAAGTACACCAAGGTAAAAGGCCCAATAAGAATGCATTTACAGGTCAGAGGTCAAGGCAAATGCATACAAGCAGCACCAAGAGATAAGACAGCTCTTTGCTCTTAAGCCAGGAGAGGTGGATAAATACAAAAAAAAATGAAAAATGGCTTTTCTCTCTTTGGTTGAGTCAAAGATTAATATCTGAGGTCACGGGTCAGGCTAACTGAAGCAAGACGAATGAATAATTAACGCTGGACCACTGAAAAACTGTGTGAATATATTTGAAGCAATATAGACAGCTCATAACGTGTGCCCCACTACTGCAGGTGTTTTAAGTTACTTTGTAGCTATTTTCGTTGGTGACAGAGAAAAGAGCCTTTTGTTGGTATTTGGAAGCAAATCAACAACCGTGGTGGAATTGTGTGCTTTGTTGGTGGGGGTATTTTAACATTCATTCTAAATTTGTCATCCCTAGAAGTCAACAAGAGGTGAAAGTGATGTCAATTTCTATGCTAACCAATGCCACTCTTTATCAGTTGTTTGCATCAGGCACCTTAGCATTCACGTGGGACGGTTTATTCAGACTTCTCAATTTTAGCTTTCACACCTTTCTTTACTAGCTTACAAAAATTGTTGAGAGAAGAACGAAACATTATAAGGCAGAGAAATCAACAAAGCTGACTCCGTTCTGGTGCCACAGCTGCTTATGAAGGATTTTCAAGTTGGGAATGCCACTAAATGATAGATTAAAATAAGTACAGGCTTAGACTTTTCTGAAACGACATTCACTACACAGCAAGATACCCGTTTCGGGATTTGCTGTGTTATAGTACATGCACACAACAAGCAGGATGGAGGGATCGAAACACAGTCGCAGAATGAGGACGGCAGTAAATCCCCAGTCTAGACTTCATCATGCTAGAAAAATATTTGTCAGACATATAAATACCTGTTCTTATTTTTTTATTTTCCATTTTTGCATATATTGGCAAATAGGCAAGATTGGAATAAACCATTTCAGTAGCAGACCAGAGAGAGGGGTTGGGAAAGAGAGTGTTTACATGGTAACAAAAATAAAGTTAATTTGTTCGCAGTTGTCAGTAACAGGCAAATGGTTTTCGTAAAGGTTGACTGAACGTTGGCTGCTCTAATTTTGATCGAATTGGTTGGAATAAAAGACGAAGCAAAAAAAGCAGCGCCGATTGGAATGAGAATGAAGAAAAAAAGAAATAAGCTGGAGGCAAACCTAACCTTAGGGCCATACTTTCTGTAGAAGAAGACCCGACCTAGCGTAGTGTGCTAACTTTCAAGGTAATCAAAAGAAAAAGCTAAAATGGACCATTAATCAATGGATGTTGAGCATTGGGAATGAAGTGTTCTATTACTACTACAGTGATTAGCCCGTGTCAATCAACTAGCTCTCTACAATACAGAGCTAGCCAGCTGTATCAATACCGCATCATTAAGTCTATTTCACGACCTATAGAAAAATATTAAAGGAGAGTTTGAGAAAAAATAAATAAAAGAAAAAGAGGCCACTTTATGACATAAGTTTTATTTTCGTGGAAGATTTCATTTCATAAAGTCAACCAAACAGTGAGAAATGATTGGCACGGATGACCCACTAGTAGACTTGGCAAGTAGGCAATAATTCATGTAATCATTGGCAATATTATCTACGGTTTTTATATTTATGTTCTAAGAGTTAAAACAGCAAGTTGTAATAGTTTAGTCTTTATGGTTGTTGCCATTTAACCTCTTTGCTCGCAAAAATCAATGGGCATACGAAAATATACTACTAAGTGCGCAATACCTCCCGCTACAAGACCACAAACTGAGATGCTATAAACGCGAAGCAATTTCAGTAAGGGGGAAAGAGGGATAAAAATAAAATAAAATAGAATAAAATAAATAATCAAATTAAACCAGACAATTGGTATCTTTCTCTGGTATGCAAATATTCGTTATCAGAATCTTCACTGTTGATATGTGCATCGAATGTGAGATCGCCATGGTAATATTGTACGGAAAATTAGTCTGGCTGGGTTTGAAGTGATAAGAACGGGAAGTTTGGGAAGATGAGCTCCTGCGAGGGTCATTATGCTATCTGGAAGGCAGTCATGATAGGGGCTTTATCCACATAGGACAGCCTTCCAGGTTTAATTGCACTAGGTGGACCTTATTAGACTGGCAGCGTTTCTGTAAAATTTAGAATTTTTAAAATAATGCTTTACAGTTGACCAGGAAAGCATTGTCTGTCTGACATCACCGATTGTTTCACACTTTTAAAAAGTAATAGACATTTACAATTTCAGGTTCCATGTAGTATATGTAGACAAATTTTGTAACAATTGCCATTGTGTGTATACAAGATAGATACCACCACACTTACATTTTGAAACTAGGGTATGTTCATCTGGCAAAGGGGTAAACAAAAATTCCTGAATTTTTCAGAAATAGAATTTCTATCGCTCAAATTTATGGCATTAAAATTGGTAAATAATTCTGTACTTCTTAGATACAACTTGTAAATAGAGACACAATTACTACTATCAGCTATGATACCATTTTATCAATGAAATTACCATGTAAACATAAAATATCCAACACACCCTATTTTCAGATAGTTCTATTTTTACTCCTAGGTTAACAAGGCATTATTTTTCTAAATAAAGAATTTTTTTAATCAGGTTCCAATTGATAAAAACAAATATTTGTGACCCCCATCCCCAAAAAATTATAATTTATTCATAATTCGTGGGTCATAATGTGACTAAAAAAAAAATTCAACAATGGCATCACTCATCCAGTCGCAAATTTTTGAAAATGCTTTAAAATTCACCAAACTAATCAACAGGGCAATTATTTCTATATATGCTTGGATGGCTTAATTAATTCGCAATAGCTTAAGTAATAATATCATGGAGAATTGACTTGATATAAGGGGTACCATGTAGGCAAAATGAGGCAACATGAGGCAACATGCATAATACAGGGGTGTCATGTCTGTTGATATTTTACATACTACGCTCTCAACCCTATTTACCCCAATAATTGGAATATTCTATTCTAAGAGTGGCAGAGAATTAAAACTAAGATAGGGGTAAAAAAAAAGGCAGAAGTGAATTGAGTAGGTATGAGTGCAGATTTCGCCACCAAAATAAATAATAATATTACATATAATTTCAGGGAGTTCGGTGTCTGCACACTCAAATTCAAAACTCAAAAAACAATTATGATATAACAGGACTCAAATGGATATGAAAAATTCAAAACATTGTTGACACAAAAAAAGTTTCAAAAGACTTATGAATATCTTTTTTTTCATATTGTTACAGAGTATTAAAGCAGCTATGGGTCAATTGGCGAGGGATGTGCTACTAGCGAACAAACACGTTGTATTCAAGTCGGAATTCATTGATGCCTTACTCAGTTATGGTGTTAGACGGAATGGGCAGATATTCTAAACAACTTCAAAACCTACTACAAAAACATTAAACAATGAAAGCCTTTTTCCGCTGATTTACAGAAGGTCCAGCTTATATGGTAAAATTAGTCCTTAAAACCTATCGAGTATCAGCCAAAACAAAGACTGTCTATATACGAACAAAGTTAGCCGATGGGATCAAGAAGGCAAAACCAATTGGCTAATGTATGTCCAGCCACAATGGGCACTTGCACGACTCCCATTCATACTGTTGTTCTTTCGTGTAACTAAACGTTCTTAAAACGTCTTCTGTGGAACAGCAATGCTGCTGGAGGGAATGAAAAAAAAACAGGAAAAAAACAACAACGTATCACATGCTTGTTGGCTGAGCATTACGATTTCTACAACTGGTGCCCTCCAGGTAAGGAACGGAAAGAGTTATACCAATTAGAAATGAACATGGGGGATTTTCTATATGAACTTGAACTGGGCATGAAATGTTCATTACACTATCTGAGTATATCACGAATGCATTGAGGTGGAGTTACATGTACACGTTAGCAGTTTATTAAGTGAGCAGGAGAAAACGATCTTATAAAGACTAACACTAAAAAAGACTCAACAACCTCTCCAGTGTGAAAAACTAGACGTCGGAAACAGAGATAGTGGCAAAAGAATAAAGTGACCGAAATTGACAAAATTCTCATGTTTCACGGTTGAGATGAACAATTTAGAAGCCAAAAAAAAAAAAAACATAAAAAAACATGTGTTATAATAGCAATTGTTATTAACATACAATGTATTTTCAATGGTTCAAAATACTACGTTCATTTCAGATCATGGGGCAAGGGGGAGGGGAACAGGATTGCTGCGGTCAAATACAAACATACGCAATTACATAGTATAGGATAGTACATTTATACTCCTAACTGGGAGAGTGTGAGATGAAATGATTTGAGTGCCACACTGGATTTAGGGATGCCTTTTGTACTCTGAATAATTCCATTTTTGTTTCGATGCAGCAACTGATTCAATACCATGTCAAAGACATCAATAAGGGAGGGATATCTCTCAAATTGAGAGATGCCAATCCCTTCGGGCTTTGTTCAATAATAATAAAAATATATTCTTCAGTCCCAATTTCATCCCACTAAAATAAACACATCAGCCAATTTACAGAAAGATAAAAAGAAATATACATTGTATAAGGGGAAAAAAATATTTCACATTTTTTTTTATGTCTTCATTTCAGAATGTAACTAACGTAAATTTATAATAATTTAGTTTCCGTGTTGAGCAGAGGAATATTTTTTTTTAGGGGCTTGGTTATCTGAAGAAGATAGTTGCAGCAGATAGAGGGAAACACAACACCCAATTAATGATTGGCTAACTCTGTGGGGAATAGAGCAAAGAGAGGAGGAGAGCAAACCAACGCTAAGTAATAGTGCGGCTGAAACCACAGTTTAAACTCTACAGACATGTATACCTGATATATGCACGTTTTGATACAAACTACCCGCAATTTCATATCTTTTTTTCACATTTGTGGGGAGGGTGACGATTTTTGGATCTCACCGCAAAGTTGCATGCATACATGTAAAGATTTGTGAATGAGGCTTCACAAAATTAAATTTCAAACAAACATTCACAAATACTAAAAATATCTGAATGTGTAAAAGTATTATGGTAAAATTTAGAATTAAAATAAAAAATAACCATAATTCTATTTTGTTTTTTTTTAATCTAAATTTTTTAAAAATTGGTTTAATATTTTCATTTTTATATAAATTGCTGGTAGTTGTGTTTTAAAGTCATTGCTACATTTTCAGAATCATTTTTCTACATTTGTCATTTTCACTTCAAAATATACTTAGTAATTAATTAAATTTTTTATTTGTTAATAAAATTATCAGTTCCTTGCAAATGCTGATATGTTACTGATATTTTTTCACTGTGCAGTATAACACTGAAACCAATAACAAAATTCTGGGGAAAAAATTAGTTATTTTATCATTAAATTTCAATTTCCTGAATGGGCACAGTTTTTTTTACGAGACCATATCATTCATTTCTAACTGTCCTCAAGTATGGCCAAGACAATAGTTTGCAGCCATAAATAGAACAAGGGGTCAATTAGGCAATAGAATGAGAACAGTACTGGCAATGTCAGAGAGTTCAATAGCTTAAATATTTCTCTTATTCCAATTCAATATACAGAAGCAGCATTTGATATGATAATATGAACATTTTTTTAAATTTAAAAACACAATGCATTTTTAGGTGAAAACAAAAATTTACTGTAATAATAATCCATGTTATCCCTTCAAAAAAACGACAAAATCTAAGTAGTGACATTTTTGACGAATTACTTTAAAATAAAATACTGGTATCTTTTATAAATAATCAAATTTTTTTATTTGAACTAAATTTCATATTTTTTTGGGTACCCTCTTATGAATGGTTGTTAATCGAGAGTTTTCTTGGTTAATTTCATAAACTCGCTTCACTGTGCAATTGTGAATTTTCTTTTAAATATACTAATATACACAACGAGGTCAAGTAATACCGATCTATACTCTCATTATTAAATCAATTTTTTCACATTTCATCTTAACAAATAGGGTATAAATTTTTTTTGCCAGTTTTTTTAACTTAAATACGTGTAATTAAATTTTTCCAGAAATTTATTCGACTGTAATTTTCAATATACAGTTGAATAAAATCTGTTATTGAAAGCCCAAAGTGTCCATTGTCTACCACAAGGGTTAGGGTGATGTTACACAATGCTCAGTGCAAGATATATGGCACTGTGGCCCAGACTGGGAGGTTTCGCAAGGAGAATTTGCATATAGGGGTGGTGAATTGCTGGCTTAGTGATAGTGAAAAATTGGAGGTCACAGTAGACATATATCTCTGTGACAGACTTGACAACTGATTTATTGCATAGCTGGGACATTGCAAAATAGAGCATTTATAAAAGGGGTGAAAACACACCCTTTTTTGGTCACCCCTGTCTATGAAACACGCCATAGTTGAAAAAGAAAAACTATGACTTGTTTGTGTTACCATGTATTTTTAATGCTAGGATCATTAAGTCGAGCAGTCCTCCCCTCCGGGATGTTGCGCGCAGTCCCTTGCAAACATCTGGGAACGAAATCTCAGCTTCCTTCACAACAAAAAATCAATGTGGTCTAACGATGATATATTTCTGACAAGTAGAAACAATAAAAATTGTACTGACCTGTTTCACTGTTGTTGTCAGGAGGTGTATGAATCAACGGTTGCGATATTGGCGGGATGGGGGTGTCTGACCTTGTTGACTGCGCATCATCCGGGTGGTCGTACGACTGCGAATGCTGCTGCCGACAGAAGATATAAAAAAAAGGAGAAGAGAAAAAAAATGGGTATAAATTTTTTGATTTGACAATCAGAGGATATTTTATTACTATATCACTGTCGGTGGCCCCCCCTATATCAAAATAAATTGGGACCAATGCCTGACAGAACATAACATATACACCTGTTCTGGATCAGTCCATAATATAAAGGTGGTTGCCAAGTGGACATACATCATTACAAATATGTCAGAAGGATAGTAAAAACATGCTGGCAGTCCTTCGGTTGGGCTAGCATCCACTCCTGTTTCACAATCCTATCATCTGCAGGGGGTTGTGGTAACTTGGCAACTGTAGTGAAATATTGCGCCCATTCTTGAACTGCGATGACAAGCCATGGATCATCCGTAACCATGACAATAACCCCCCTTCCCTTTCCCCCTGCGAAAGCACATTCATCATGACTTTAGCTCTTTAATACCAAAGGAATTATGATTGAAATGAAATATTTTCAGGGCTTCAAATGTGCTGTTAGTCCCCAAAATAACCATTCATCAGGCCGTGTGTTTGAGTTGATGAGCAAGCCAGAACCTGCCTTCTTAATTGTATCCCTGGCAGGGTAATTTATGGCACAGCAGTTTAATGGCTGTCAGACTCTCCCTCTATTCATTTTTCGTTCTTCATGCTTCATCATCTGTTAGTTTCGTTTGTTGATAATGGCCAAAACCGCAATGGCAAAACAATGACAATAAAATCTCCTTTTCATTATCTTGCCAGTTCACAAAAAATATACATAAAATAAAAATAAAATTGATCCTCGCTCTCAAGAAGAAAAAAAAATGTAATAAAAATAAATAGAATTATATATTGATTAAAAAAAAATATAAAAATATAAATTGGTGCATGCATAAACACAACAAACACAAGACAAATCATTTTAAGTTGAGTACAGCCTGTCTTTATTAATTAAACATGTGAAGACTACAGCTGTACAGTGAAATTCATGGTAAATGCCCAACCACTATATATAGAAAACTACACCAAGTTTTTAGCAAGTTGTGTAAGAAAAACTTTTGTCTGCCCCAGACGGCCTGCCTCATTCAGTACATAATAATCATTACAACACCTGAAAAAAAACTGATTTCATTTTTTTTTTTAAATATATAATCTCCCTGTACTTTTTTTCTGTTTCCCTTTCGTTCTCACTGGTTTTGAAGTAAATCAAATAAAAAAAGATAATAGTTACAGCAACCTCAATAATTTTTACCCCATCCCCATCCCATAATATTTCTGAGTACTGTACATGATATGGCAAGAAAAGTGCTTCCGATAAGAAAAAAACAAACAAACCAAAAGTATAAAAACAAAAAAACAAAAAAAAACACAATATATTTTTTGCTGTATGGCAAATTACATGGAATCCCGATAATTAAAAAACAAATATTAAACTGAAAACAATAGAAATATGCCTGAAAGTTTTTTTTGTTTGTTTTTCGTTTTTTAATTATACTTTAATAATATTATGGCAAGATGGCTGCAGGTAAGTAAATGTACTAAATAAAAAATATAATTAAAAGTTAATAAATTTAGTTTGTTATCATTAATTCTTTTACTCCCCTGTATATGTTTTTATCTTGGTAAATCAGTTAAGATTACATGTCTATGGAGGAACTAGTGATAGGAACAGCTATGGGATTGCCCGTACAATACTTATATTGTAGCAACAACAACAGACAATAATACTACAATGTTACAACCTGCGATGAATCTCTCTCACTCTCTCTCGTATTCCCCCGCAATTTAATAATCTTGTACACTTTGGTAAATCCCACAACAACTAGAGGGAAAATTAATAAAGGGAAAAAGGGAAACAGCCTCGCCAAAATCCCCCACTACTTTGATTTCTATTAGACGTGAAGGAAATAGAGCTCAGAATTTGAGAAGCTCCATTATATTAATTCATGAAGAACAAAATGTATTTTACATAAAAAAAACAAAAAACAAAAAAACCTACAATTACACATATTATGACAAGCTTATTTTATAAATATTTAATGTTATCTAATTTTTGTTTTAAGCCAGCAATTTTCAGACCTCTTTATTTGTTTTGATTTTACTACCCTTGCACAGTAAATGATTAATCACTGTTGTCCCTGATTTTGGATTTTTTCACTACTGGAGTTAAAATGAAAATTAATGTGAAAAACTTGATATAGAATGAGGAGTTAGGTAGGCTGGCCTTACAAACATTTCCTCCTCTTCTATACAGTATGCAAATTTACAACGGATAATACTAGACAATTCATTCACAAATCTGATTTCCTTTTCTTACAAAGAAAACAAATAACTTATGAACGATAGCAATTATTGGTAGAATTGATAAACATCTTTAAACAGGATCGACAACACGAATTACAAACAATTCAATCTCCATACCTGAAACAATACTATGATATCATGCTTGAAAAATTAGAATAGTTTTTCAATAATTTTACCCAATAATAGCGTACTGAATAAAATGTGGATATCCACTACACACCATGACCCAAAGACACAACCCTAGTGCAAGTTCACGATAATGAATCAAGGAGAAAAATAGAGGAAAAAATTAGACAAGTGCAGATTTTTTAAATGTGGGAGCAAATTCCACAGAACTCTCGTTTTTTTTTTTTCCAAGACAGACACACATGCAAATAAGGCAATGCTTGAAATACCAATGTGTTCACACCTGAGAAAGTCTGTGGACATTTTAATAGCCAATCATATGGAAAACTGTTAAATAGGCAGCCGAATTGTGCTCCAAATTACAACAAAGTAGGTTGACAGAAGACAGTAATAAGCCAAGCAATAACAAATATTGGAAGTACCCTACCATCATAGCCACCGAGAAATCCTAAACAGTCCCCGAGCTGCTGTCTGCCTGCGTGCCTCGTGAAAGTAACTGACTTATATTGATTGCCCGCTGCACTGCGAGTCATGAGCTTGATACACACAGTTCTCCCTGAGATGACTGCCGTTGCCAACAGCCTCCTATCAGAATATGGATGCAGTCTTAAAATCACTAAGCTCTTATAATTTCTGGTTGTGTGCTTCAAATTTTGTCTAGTAGGGCATGTAGAATGCGAGGGAGGTCCGAGATAATGCATGTCAAACACAGCTGACTAGCGAGCTAAATAGAGGGAAAATGACTCAGAAGGAAACCACCTTCTCCCCCGATGGGAACAGCCTGTTTTGACAGCTAAACTTTGTATACCTATTCGCTGCTGCATCTAGTTTTTTTTTGAAATCGCCAACGAGAAGATGGAGGCCCATTTAGCAGTTTTTCAGTCATCTGATTGTGAAGCCAATTAATACCCCTGACTAGTATTAATTCAGTCTACTGCTAACCCAGTAGGAACAATAGTACACAAGTTCTGGTGGGCCTTTGTAAAGCTCTGGCGCCCATTGCACAAAGGTTCTTCCGCAAGCGTGACTTTGCCTGAGCTAGCCTACTGATTGTCTCTTCCCCATTCTGCCCTATGGTAAATGGCTTTTACCTAATTACGTCGACTAATAATATGACACATTACTACACTAGAGCGCTCACTAAATGGCCATTCGGACCACCAAATTAAACTTTGTGTCTCATTGATACTTTGATTTTCCAAGCTATTTTCAACACAGAAGCCCAGTCAAAAAAAAAAAAAATATTGAACACTAAATAATAAACAACAGTACTTGGATCAGTGAAAGAGGAAAATCATGGAAATGAGCTCATAGGGCCACTAATAATAGTCTCCCTATTGGACTAAGAGGCTTCCTTATCAATAAATGTTTTCCCTTACAAAGCCAACAGACAAGCAGAAACACAAAAGGTCGAGTTCTGCCTTTTAGAATCAATAGTTGAAAAATCAATAGGTTTCTAATGCGTTCTTTAGAAATAAACAGGACAGCTTATGCCAGATTCAAATCATCCTAATATAGTGAACCACTAAACGCGAGACCAATGTTGTTGTTTGCCGACTACCAATGTAAGCTTAGAGAACACAGCTGCCTAACCAATGATACTGTTTACCACTACAAAGCACAGTTCGAAATTTGCCTGTATTGTTTTGTTGATGGCCTACATTAGTCACATGCTCGGACTAGGCCATGTGTGTATATAAATAGCCTAGGTACCAAAGGTTTCAATTGTGCATTCAACCCCCCCACCCCCACCCCCACTGGTACCACCCCCTATCTTTTTAATGAATCCTCCAGACAAAGACAAAGATTATGCACAAAGGGGCAATGCTTGCCTCCCCTAAAAGTTTTTTAGTAAAAAAAAAGAAGAAGAAAAAAAACAACTATTCTGGTAAAATATTTGTACATTTTGATAAAAGTGCTGGAGCTTATCATGCTGCATCAGGAGGCATTTACACAATTGCTAAGTGCAGGAAAATTAACCAACGAAATGATGAAAGAAAAGCCACAAAATTTCCCCATTAGGGTCCCTAGTTCAATCAAGAGGACAAGAAAGAAATCCCCCATCTACAGGGTCCCAGGAGAACGGCTGATTCATATGCATAATTTTTGTAGTGCATTATTATAAAATAGCTTAAAATAAAAGGTCAGGGTGGCAAGGCACATGCACATAAATAGTTTAAAAAGCATTAAGGCACAGCGTCGTGAATTGCAAATAGCAAAAGTGAATTTTGTTGGTTTGGGAGTTGGGGTGAAGAGAGCTTTATCTGACAATTACGAGAATTTTGTGCTCAATAGACGGGGTAGTATGGATGAACGATACTTTCGAGAGGATTTGGGGGTGCTGGGGATACGATTTTCTAATTCAAGTCGAAAATAATAGTGGCATTAATATTTGAACGAGAAAAAACACATAGATTTGTGTTTGGTCGCAACAACTAGTCTCTAGAGATACGACTCCCAGATAGAATCAGATACTTTGAGTGTCATGACTATTTCGTTGTTGTCTAGTTTTGGATGTTATCAGTACATTGTCAATTGCTGCAAGTCGCTACAACATGGTTTTTGATTGTGCTTAAATTGGGAGGGGGGAACGACATAATAAAGTTTGTTTCCCTGTCATCCTAACAATAATAATAATTCTGTTGATAACACCTTATAGATATAGAAATAGTTATGGAATTCTAAATAGGGATGGTTTTACACTAAAAAAAAACATGGAACAGACACATGGATACATCAATTAAAAGAAAAAAAAATTAATGTAAAAATTAACCCCATTTATTGAGATTCTCCAAATGATTAATTAATTATGCTAATTAAATACATTAATTGCCTGATTTTACAACTATGGTGTGATGATGTAACATTCTGCTAGGAGGAAGGATGTTGAACGAACGAACGAACGAACAAACAAAATGGAGTCCGGTCTACGGTTTTACAAGCAAGACTACTTAGACTGGATGCAGTACCTGCTCCGATGAATGCATTGGGTCCTTATGATTTTCGGATGGTCGGAGTGGATTAGGTGACCTGCTGCCGATGTTTTCCCGGTCTTCGATAACCAGATCAATTGGCATTTTCCCTTTCAAGCAATTGATGTAACGATGGCAGAAATTATCGCACAGCTCGTGTACCTGTTGGAGTTGAAAAAACACAAAAAACTATTGATAAATATAGTAACATAGCAAACTTTATACTTTTTATCTTTGAGTGAGCTATTTTTCAGAATTGGGTTGTCAACGTAAATTACAAATATGAAATGTATCATCCTTGATTTCACAGTATCAAAGAAATATCAAAGAAGAACTCTCTAACCAGAAGAAAACATTGATTCCATTTATCATGTCAAAAGAGCACAGAAATCAATGTTACTTTTTATCATATGAGAAATAAAATCGTTGCCACACACAAATAGCTCCAAGCCACATAGGTAAGTCTTCTATTTTCAAAACAAAAACCTATATCCGTACTATCTGCTATGTGACAATGATCAAATAAAATATCAATATAATCGAGTGGGATTCAACTGGAATGCTAACAATACACACACAAAAAAGACGATCAGATATATACAGGGAAAGAAGAAGTTACATTACAGATCTTCAGGATTTTGGAAAAGAGACCAATTTCTTGGTGAGTTGTCCAAATCCTTGTCAGCCCCCCCCCCC